TGTGTGTGTGTGTGTGTGTGTGTGTGTGTGTGTGTGTCAAACAGTGCACTGCGAAGAATCGGAGATGGAGGTTTTCTCTACAGAAGGGGCTCGGTGTTGCCATCATGTGGCTGCTGCATATAAGATCCCGGTGCTCTGTTACAAGCTGCACAACGCGCGCACACGCAACAATTCATTACTGTAGGTGGTGCATGCATCCTGTAAAATGCATAATAGCTGGCAGGAGCAAATACATTTGCTCAAGGGCTCTCCCTATAGGCACAGAGTTTATTGCAACTTTAAGAAACTGATATACGTGGATGGGAATCAAGAGCAGTCATGCACTTGTAACTGTTAATTAATTTACATAAATAACTTCAAAAACTGACAAACTTCTATGTGTTATCTTGTCTTGGGGTAGGGAAACTGTCATTTTAGTGTGCAGCAAAGTTTCAATTAGATTTCCACACAACTCCAAGCTCACAAAACATGACAGGTGTGCTGGGTGGTCCACCAGTATTAGTGGATGATCCTAGGTTACCATGGTAACTCCACACAACTCACAAAACATGACGGTGTGCTGGCTGGTCCGCCAGTATTAGTGGATGATCCTAGGTTACCATGGTAACAACAGACGCCACTACAAACCACCATATCATCCAGATTATAAAGATGCTGATATCAATATTGTTACTGTCCTCTAACAAAAGTCATATGACATAGGTTATGATCTTGAAATGGGGGGATGTTCCTTGTTGCCGCTTTTAAGGAAATCAGAGAAGCACGAGGACATGAGAGATGAAACCAACCATTTTGATTTGAAGACTAAGACAGGCAAAAAAAAAGCACATAAGGGAAAAAGAAAGCTGCGGATGCTAGTGGCGTAGTGCTGTGGGTAGAAGAGGGTGGGGGGGTGGTGGTGAAGGGCATTAACAAGAGCATATGACAGTACGACCCGTGCCTTCCCCTGACAGGCTTTATTACAGTGCCACCTGCAGAGAGACAGCAAAAAGCACTTAGCCACAGCCGACAGAGGGGGAGAGAGAAGGAGAGAGGAGAGGGAGGACGATGCGTGGAAGGGATAATTGACATTGCAGGGTATGAGGATGGCAACAAAAAGGAGGAAGAGATACAAGCGTGATGGATGGGGGTGAGAGCATATTAATTTGATGACAGGTTTGTGACTCTCAAGATGAATTCATTATAAAATAAGGTTTTCAATCTGCAAGTCAACCTCATGTTAGAATAGCACTCATAGAGAGCGGAACTTTGTGGTCATTATCACGCTAAGGTGACTTTGGTGTCCTCATGACAATCGCTTAGTCATCCTGAAATCTTTCTTCAGTGGAGGCTGAAAAACCGGGTGGTTGCAGAAAAAAATATTTACATTTATGTCTTGTAATTTTCCTCACATTATATGTGTAGATAGACGTGGATCAAATGAGATGTCCACTTTGTCATTTCAAAAATTTGAAATACATTTGCTAGACAGTCGACGGTCAACACGCGTAATGTGTCACACCTCCAACAATGTTTTGTGGAAATTCATTGTGTAGCTTCTGCGTAAAGGGCTAGCCAAAACACGCAACTTTTCATTGCGTGGGCACCTTCAACCCTGCCTCTGACACTTAGCAGCTGTAAATAAGATGACAAAGAAACACAAAGCAGAGCCGAGTGTGGTCCAATCCTGCTTGAACACCTGTCTGCTTGGACCTGCCAGGTCAAAGGTGAGCGTCTAGCGGGCTTTTTACGATGTGGTCATTTCAGGTTTGCCACTACAACCGGATCTAACTGCTTAAAACTGGGGCCATGTCCCTCGCACTGAGTGCCAAAGCCAAAATATATCGTCTTCTAATCCCTAAGTGTGGGTATATATTACATATTCATCGCGTTAAACTGCCAAATTCTGGTTCTGTTTTATTCATTCACTGTCATTGTTTGATGCAATTTATGCGAGCCATGAGGAGGAAATAATTAAGGAGATGAAATGAAGAGAGGTTCATTACTTCCTGAATGGTGGCGGTTCACATCTATTAGTGCTTTGTCCTGCTGATGTATTTGCTGATGAGCTTGAGCCAAGTAATGACGTGCTCTACTGCCTGTGAATCTATAGGTCTCTTCCTAAATCTGCTGCTGCTGGCTCCCGGGGCTGTGGATGGAAAACCACAGTCACTAAATCAAATCCATCCGCAGGAAAGAGGAGAGAGTGAGCGAGAGGGGGGAGGGGGAGGGGATCTGCCTGTTGGAAAGAGGAATGTGTTGGAGAGTGGACAAATCAAGCAAGAGTGACTGCACAATGAGGTCAGTGTGACCAGAGGAGGCTGACTCACAAGCAGACAAACAAACACTTTAAACGCACGCACACACACACACACACACACACACACACACACACACACACGCACAGAGTGAATGATTGAGTGAGGCCATAACCCCATGCCCACCCTGAGAGTGGCTAATAACTGTGGCGCGGTGCCAAACCCACTGTCTCCTGACTAATTCCCGCCCCCCAATGGCCGCCAGGACTGGCGCCACTCTGTAGAACAGGCCTCCGATTCTCCCAAAAATCCTATGATCATTACTGAATTAGTCAAAAACGATGGCTAAAAAAAACAGCTGCCTGTGGTTGATCCAAAGCCCCTGAAGAAAAGACGTTATGGAACCATAAGGAGGAATGCTGCAAATTCAGGGTTTCATTATGTCAAAAAAAAGGGAAAGGATTTAAATATGAGATTAATTTTCACTTTCCCAGTCACAAGGAGGATGGCAATTCCCCAAATGTTTATTTTATTTTTTCACGGCCCACAAATTTTATGCTGTCTTCATTAGTGATATGCCGTGAACATGAACCAAATAACGCTTTTAGCGATTTATTACAATGACGAGGTTGTCGTCCTGCTTGGTTTAAGCACCAACGCTGTACGTAGGTACAAAGCTGCCAGTTTATTGCTCGAGAGAGCTTCCTTTCTGATGATCAAAAAGCGCATCTTGTTGAAAACAAACAAAACCAAAAAAAAAAAAAAAAATACCCAAGAAAAAAGAACACAGAGCTGTTAGATATCATCCATTGTTGTCTTTTGTTTATTGTGTTGGGTTTTCTATCGTTCTTTAACGTATTGCCATGATGGTAAATTAGTTGGAGTAGATTTTGGGTGACAAGCTCGAAGGCGATATTGTCAGCATCAAAAAGTTCAACAGTAAAACTGAATGGACTCATTGTCTTCTTTTCCCCCTACTGTGACTCCTGATGACTCTTGAGCTTAACCTTAACTGTGCATGGTGGCAAAAAGAGGACAGTGAAGTGGCACCTTGCCAAGGCACAGTCTCGAGGTACACACACATTTTATCGGCTTTGAGGGCGCTGCGACAAGCTTGACATTCCCTTGGGAGGTTCACCCCACCCTCCATTGTGGGTCGCACACAAGAGAATAAAAAGAAAGCAGCAGAAGGGGTGTGAGCAAGCAGTGTCGTCCCTCCTCAGGCCCCCACTTGTTGTCACTTGCCACGTGGTTGCCTGCCAAGTCATCATTTTTTATCAACCACAAGGCTTCCTTTGTGACATGTCCTCATTGGAGCTCACTGAACACACACTTTGTTTAGGACCCAAAGTCCTCCTCCTTGCCAAATATCATGAAGTACACCGCCAACCTGGTGGTGCTCCACACACCCACGGTGGGTAATTGCAATTGTATTGAACTGGCCGACAGCCAGAGTGGAAACACTGCCAAGTCCAGCTGTGATGTTATCATCACAATACACCGAAAGCCTCATCTCAGAACAATTACATCTGCAGTCTGTGCAGTGCGAAGGCAAACACATGTCAAGGACACAAACATGAATGAAGCGCAATCTCTAAATTAGCACAAGCCCTTTGGTACAGGTGTTTTATTGGAGCAATGTCGGCGTACCCAATGCTGTGGCCAGTACGTGCAAATTGCAGAGGGTGACCAGAAATTAAATGAACAAAAGCACAACTGGAAACCATCAGAGGTTACGTCCTCTCTTCATGTGTGCGAGCAGGTCATTTTTTTTTTCCACCTGAATAGAGGAATTGGGACGTGCCATGTCACCGCGAGCCACAATACAACCGACATGATGGAGAGGACTTAAATAACTCATGAAAATGCAGCTCTCAAGCCCCGTGAGAGCGGTGAGAGTCATGTTGAGCGCTAGACTCCAACGTGCACGTCTGGGTTCATGCTGCCGCTTTTGTCACGACTCTTTAACCAAGTGTCAGAGAGCAACTTGTGGTTTAGATGTTGAGTTGACGTGTGTGTGTATTTGTTTGTGTGTAGATTGGTCTGTAGTAGAGAGCGCTTGTGGAGGCTTTTCTGTGTACAACCGGGGGCGCCCTCATGGCGAAACAGAAAATAGCTTGAGAGAAAAAAAAAGGGAGGAAGCCTGAGTAGGCAGGGACGTTGATAAAGAGAGGCAGGTAGGGAAGGGATAAATAAGAGTGCTGGGACGGAGAGATAAAGAAAGAGAAGTGGGTGGAGAAATCATTAAATTTATATTAAAAAAAAAAAAAAGAAGAAAAAGAATAAAGCGGACATGGTGATAAGGTCGAGTTTAGGAATCTCTATAAGAGGAGACAGCAGCACTTTTCCCATAAACACACAGAGCCAGTGATGGCATCCCTCAGGGTGCACTCACACATACACTTTGCCACGTTATCTTTCTTCTTAAGCCCTTCACAGTTTGAGCAGACAAAAGTGAGCATATGATGGCTTGGGCTTTAAAAAATGAGTTTTTGCAAGTTCATTGAGCTCATGAAACCAAAACATTGCCCTGCACAATGAAATCAGAATCAAGTTAGCAGTTAATAAGTCGGTCAGTTGATGATGTTCTGCATGCATCACTCCGACACCTTTTTAGACAATTATCAGCATACAGTAATTGCTACGTGCAGCTTGGGCACCAACTGCTAGCACAGAAATGCCCCAACTTCTAACAAATGAAAAATTGTGTGCATCAAATCAAAGCGCAGTTTTTAAAATCGTTGGCATTTCAACATGACTCACCGGAACATGGGCGGTCAACTGGCTCAGGTATCTCTGGCGCCAAGGTCACAGGGGGAGGAGTGTGGTCATCTGCAGGTTGGGAGGTCTTTAAGTTTTCCTCCTCACCGGCTCTAGTCGACTCCCCTGTCACAGTGTCGGGCTGAAAGAGAAAAAGATGTTTTAAAACAACGGCTAAAGTGGCTGATATACTATTGAGTGTGTCATTCTCCTGACATGTTTTCTTGGTACAGACCAACTAAATCGCTACTATGTAATAAATATAAAATACATACTGGAGAGAAAGAAAAGCAATGCAGATTGTTGGATATGGAGCCCTGACAGCCACCAGATTAGTAATAACAACTAAAATGAATGAAAACAGAGTGATTGTGACTAATTAGCCATTCTACTGCATTATTATCTGGCCATCATTGGTGCAACTACTTAATAGAATGATCAGATGAATGAAAACAGAGGGATTGTGCATAATTAGCCATTCTACTGCATTATTATCTGGCCCAACATTGGTGCAACTATTTGAGGTGCTGAGATCCACATGATGAAAACACAAAGAGAAGGAAGAAGAAAAGGATGCAGAAAGTATCCCTCCTATGAAGTTACAGAAGTTGAAAAGCAGGTGTTAATCAAAGACAAAGAGCAACTCTGACAGCTTCAGTCTGTTTGAATGTGCTGTGCTGCGCTCCACAGCTGAGGAGAACTCAGGATGAGCCTCGAGGAGGGAAGCGATGTGTCCGTGAGCAGCAGAGGGAGAAGCAGAGGGTGGCTGTCAGAAAGGAAGGACTTTAAAGGAACTGCTACCACTGACAAGTGGCAGGGAGACAGCAAGATAGCTGGGGACCAGGCTGAGACAAAGATGCATCCTGGGCTTATGAAGTCAACATATCACCCAGCTGGAGAAACACAGACACAGAACCATAAAGGAGAGGAAAGCCCTGAAAACTGATAAGACAATATAGTGTGTGTGCGCGCATGCATGTGTGTATGGGTGTGTGTGTGTATATATATATATATATGGGACTTCTGACAGAATTTTTTCATTAATCTGCCAATGACAAAAAATGAGTCCAGGCCATGAATGAGCACAGCAGTCTGAAACCATGATGATGTTTTAATGATTTTTTTTTTGCTTTTTTTTTTTGCACGCGCACACACACACACACACACACACACACACACACACAGCATCGTGTGTTCTTTCCGAACATCTCAACTTTGGAATCATCTGTTTTCAGAATAATTTGCTATTTGCTATACTAAGGAGCACCAGGAGCTCTTTAGTGAAGTGCAAATGTGCAGCAGTTTTTATTTTTAATATCAGTGACTTCCTTTATGGTGTCCTCCTCCAATGACACCTATTCTTGTATAACGGTGACCTTTTGTAGATTTGGCAACAGAGATGTCAGTGTGTGCCAGAAATTCTTCACCTCACCTCATTGACCATTCGTCGCTGTGCCAATGCGAGGGAGTAGCAAAAGTGCAGAACTTCCTTCATTTATAAATAATGTGACTTATTGTGATTTGAAGAACATGAAGGCTTTTCGAGATACTTTGTCAATCTTTTCAGCTTCATGCAAGCCAACACTTTTTAATGTAGGTCTTCTCAGAACCTTTTTTTGTATAAGGCATGATTTAAAACTTGAGAATCCAAAACAAAAAAATGGTTGTTTTTTTTGTACGGCAGGGCAGCTTTAACCAGTCTGATTGCATGAATTGGACTTCTGATTAGCTCTCTGCTGACAGTGCTTGGTTCTTGGAGCAGAAGTTAGCCTCAGAATCCACATACCGGTACTTTTTTCCACCCCGCACTATGAATACTTGCTTGTCATGTTCGATGAAAAACATGATTGTTTGTGAGGAATTAGTTGAAACAGACGGTGTTTGTCTATTGTTGTGAGTGAAGATCAGATCGTATTTTATATTTGAAGATCAACTTCACACAGAAATAGAAATAAAAAGGGCTACACCCCAGACTGGTCGCCAAGCAATCACGGGGCACATGTCGAGACTGACAACCATTTGCTCTCACAATCACATCACAACTAAGTGGGAACTGAATTCAACTTTCGTTCACTAAAAATGTGTTGTAGTGCCTTCCTGGTTAGAACAAATCCATTTCACAAAAAAGTAAATGACAAATACCACCCCCCCTTTCCCTCCTCCCATTATTACTCCAGAGGTATCCTCTCTTGATTAAAAACACACAGACACACAAAAAAAAAAAAAAAAGCGGCTGCAGAATAAACAATTCCTGTGATATGCCAAAACAGATGGTTAGCGCGCAACACAACATATTGGCCCTTAAAGATGAAGCAAGGTTGCCAAGATTTGATGCTCGACTTTACGCCGTTGCTACCATTGCTCTCACATGACTCATCTTCGGCCATCAAACTTGTTATTTACAGTGGGTCATGTTGCACAACATGAGTGCCTTGTGGGCACAAAGTACACGAGAGCTTCAATTACGAAGGGACGTCATTTAAGGCCTGACTCCGAATTGAGTGTTGATGAGTGCACACTCATGTTGAGTCATAGTGTGTTTAAGATGCAGCGCACGAGTCAGAAGGTGAAATGAGAAATATCAACGGAGGCAGTACTAATTGAGGTTAATTCCACTGTTGAGCAATATCTCCTCTAAGCGGCAAAGGGGATTTCTGCTGCTAATGGAGTATGTTGAACCACATAGGGAGTCTGTGGGCAGCTTTTAGCCCTCAATGGATCAGACAATATCAGCGCTGGAGGAACAATAAACAAGAGTCTACAGACTTGCGCCGATATTGATTATGTCTCTGTGCGTTAGTGCCTATCAATCAAGACAGTCATGACCTCAACTGAGCTGTCCCAACTCATATCTCACCTGACACGCTCATAAATAAATCGGTAAAAGGAAGACCTCTGCTAATGACATAATAGTTAATTAAATCGAGAAAAAAAAAGTGCGCGACCTATTTATGTTTGTGTGGCCATCTGTTGCAAGTGAGCAAGCTACTTCCTGATTAATGGAAGATGTTACTAATGGACTATTCTATGCTATGGTGAAACTAATGGCAAAAAGAGAGAATAAATTGATAGGCCTTAACAACTTGAAATAAAAGTAGCATTGCAAATTCATTTGTAACCTTCCAAAAGTCCAAAAGATTCTTTTAGAGGCTGCCAATACCAGCCACTGATACTAAAGAGAAAAAAAAAAAAATCTGACAGTGAGTTCGTCCGCCTTGGCAGTAGCTGATGCTTATTGCGACAGTTTGACACAACAGTGATTCATCCTCGTGTCAGAAAAAAAAAGTCTTTGTTCATATTTTTTGTCATTGTGTCAAATTTAATTTTTATATATCAAAAGTACTAGCGGTAATTGTACTCGAAATCAGAGAGTACCCAAAGACTGAACACAAGTACTAATATCAGTCTGAAAAAAAAGTGGTGTCAAATATCCCTCCGTTACTTTACTTAAGCCTTAAGGTAGCAAGCGTGTTGTTTGATTCATTGTATTATGTGTCAACTTTACGGTAAATTTCCACTGGGAGTGACAAATGAATGGCTATGAAACGAGCACGTTGAGCCTCTTATTTCTTATTGTTCGATATCGGTCAAACTGCGCACAACCACTCCGAAGGGGGGGAAAAAAATATGTGTGAATGTGAGGTACTGCTGTACTATTCAGTACAGGTACAGTACACCGATCGAATGATTATGCAAGCGTAACAAATAAAGTGACCATAGACAACGCCCACTGACACTTTTGATAGCACTGACTGGATCCAACACGACGTAAGCACATCCTCGTTGTCCACTCCAGGGGACAAGCACTTTGCTCAGAAGCGAGCTAATCCATTGCTGAGCGCTGTGCAGCATCCACCATGCGACAACTGCGACATTAATTGACGGGGGATGGACATGCGTGTTTGTGTGTGTCTGTGTGTGTGTGTGTGTGTGGGGGGGGGGGTCGTGGTCGGATGAACCCATCTACACTACACTGGCAAAGGTTTCAACAGGAAATACCCTCGAGCAAGTCGATAAGTTAGTCAGCAAGGGTTTGGGGGAGATCAATGGAAAGTCTGGGTGTCAGCTGGGGCATCACAGGAGGAAACGCAGTTCACGGTTGAGTTGCCACTGGATTTACCATGAGGTAAATCTTTACAGTCCATTGTTAGCCAATATAAGAGCTGCATCATGAATTCAACTAAATTTAACAATGTTTATTGATTGTCGCAGTGGTGCAAATCTGATGTTTGAATGAAAATGGGTGGTTTCATGTTCTTCATTCTTATTAAATAATGAATTATTTTAATATTAATCATAATGCAACGTTTGCACTAGTGGAGGCACATATTGCACAGATTTTTTTTTTTCTCCTTAATGACTATTACTTTCAATGGTTGTCACGACTGCACCATTGAAGCTAGTTTTTTTTTTCGCCCGCCTTGTGGTTTTTGGATTGTGAGCAGTCTTTCTTAAATTTTGGTCAAACACTCATAGTGTATTTGTCTTTGGCTTTTTGATTTTTAAAGTTTAACTGAAAATGGCAATAAACAGCTTGAAGCAAGCAATTGATTTTTTTTTTTTTTGATAATCGGCTGCTTGTTGTGCAGTTCGCTGTCACCATTTAGCGCTTTGATCTCAAAGCAAAAAGCAAAAAAAAAATAATTATCAGACCAAGACCAAAATGTAGTTCCAGCTCTTGTACTAGGTCACACTACATGTGTACAAATTCTCCGGCGAGTATTCAAATATTTATGCATTGATATGGACTAAGAAAATAATTCTTTCTCCAGTGCAGTGAAAAGACAAATAAGCAAATTAAGCCAGTTGGATGAACGTTGTGTTACTTGGCATTAGAAAGGAGAAAAGCAGATGCTTGCTCATGTAAAAAAATGTCATGGATTACCCATTACAGCATTGGGAATATATTCCTCCCGAGGGATGCGGTGACTGTTGCTTTGGGATTTGAGAAGTCGAGCCAGATGTCACCCACAGGACTTGATTGCCCGACAATGCCACGCTGGATTGCAAACATGCCAGCGTGTGCGACCGGTTCGCGTTTGTGTGCGGCTCCGCTGACATTTCATCAAACGTGCTTGACATTTCCAGGGGATTTAAAGATTTGATCCCTTCTGTGTTGGGGGAAGTTGCGCGGTGCCCTCC